AGACAGACAGACAGACAGACAGACAGACAGACAGACAGACAGACAGAGAGATACATACATCCATGCATGCATGCATCCGTACATGCATGCATACGTACGTACGTACTTACATACATAAATAAAAAAATATATATATATAGATAATATATACATACATGCATGCATACAATGCATATATACATACATACATACATACATACATACATACATACATACATACATACATACATACATATGCTCACACTTATGTACTTACATACACACATACACACATGAACGTAATTATATAATTACACGACACAGTATATGCAACTATCAGACACTGAGAGGCATCATCGATTTCAGCCGTGCAGACGCACTTAGAGTGCAAATCACAGTTGGAAATCACACTGTTCGCTCCAGCAGAGGTATTTGCAACCTTGCTGCTCATCGATCGCATGGGGCGCCGGTACTATCAAGCACTCTTCTATGGCACGGCAGGCGTTTGTTGGCTGTTTTACCTTGTGCCATCAGGAAAGTACTGGGTGCCTGTTTTTTGTTCATCTCTTAATTCCAGAGTGCACAGTGTGCTTTCTCAATTGCCAGAGGCCCCTTAGGACATATGAACTGTGTTTCTGATTGGTCACTGTCAACTGTTAACCGTCACCTTCTCAAGAACTTGCAGGAGCCGCAGCTTCCCTCCTGATTTTTCGCGAAGTGCTACCATACCCACTGGTTGCAGTTGCTGCCACCTGGCTCCAGTACCCATCCTTAAACCGTCCTGCAACGACCATCGCATGAAGTACGGATGCTTTGTGCTAATATTATGTGGTGACCTTGGTTTCAGGTGGGTTAGTTAGTTAGTGAGCTGATGAGCCGACGCAAGCGCCAAGTTGTTCAGTGATGAGGTGATCATCGTCCGATGCGGTGTGTTTGCTGCTGGCTCCGGCACGTGGCTTCACACTCCAGAGATCTTCCCAGTGCAGGCCAGAGAGCTTCACACTCCAGACATGTTGACTTTTTGTCGAGGGTTTTGCAATGCAGGGTTCATGTCTGACATGTGTGTGAGTGTGATGTATCTTTTTGATCCTCGAGTGGTTGAAGATTTCGGGCCGCTCCGTGTCGGGTAAGGAAGGACAGGAGAGGCAGAGAGAGAGAGAGAGACAGACAGACAGACAGACAGACAGACAGTCTAACGCGGAGATGGAGATGGGCAGGGACAGAGGGAGGCAGGAAGGCATGTTTTTGAGGCATTCTACACGTTTACTGGTGCAAGTGCCACACTTCACCATGGTGAGCGAAGAACTTGATTTTAACCCTACTGAAGTGCGTATTGCCTTAAAATGCTGCCATTCGAGAGCATGGACTACCGACAGCTGTATCAGAAAAAGGTCCAAGGACCAGCCTGGCATCGAGCACAACAAACGAACCAAGGGGTTGGTTTAGAACGACTTGGATTCTTTCCAAAGGGCGGCTTGGGGCATGCACTCAGCAAAGTGTGAAACAAATGTGAGAAAGACTCGTGGCTGGCTGGTGTCAATCCAACTGGAATTAACTACCCAAAAACAATGATAGAAAACCAACCATCAACATCCATCAACCAGGTGAAAATGGATATCAAAGTCGGAGAAACAGAGAAACAGCTAAGCAGCCCCTAAGAGGATGTCAACAAATCCTGAATACTGTAGAGTGATGCTGAACCCTGTTTACCGCCCACAATGACTGCAGGCAGGATCTTCAATCACCTTCATGTGTGATCTAAAGATAAGAAGAAGAACTCAACCTCACATCCAAAATTTAAAGATCGTCAAAGACATGCAAAAAGGGGGGTGGCAGAAGATGCTGTATTGTAGACACAAAATGAAAGATACACATACATATATATATAACTTAACAATGATTTGGGTTGGAGCTGTAGATCATCATGAACTCCAGCACTAAGCCTTTGCCGCAGATCAGAGCGACTGCGCATGCCGCTTGCAACCTCACAGCAAACATCGGGCGGGTTTTGGCTCCAATCGTTGTGAGAATCTTGGCCATCAAGAGGAAGGGTTCAAGGCAACTGTTTGATCCGCGGGCCTTTCAGAGTCTTCCATCCATGTCACCTATTTCTGCCAGGCCATGCATCAAGTTCAAGCACAGATGTTCAGACATCTCGTTGTCCTATCTGTTCATCAGCAAACAAGTCTAGGCAAAGCAAGTGGAACGAGAGGATAGACAGCATCAGACTTTCTGAAGAGGCGTCAACTGCCACTAAGGTCCTTACCTGTCAGCTGCAGCTTGTGGCTCGATGATGGCGTCGTCCCTATTTATTGCTGTTCTACTTGCGGTGGCCGCACCGGAGAGCGTCCAGTTCACCACAAAAAGGAGCAACGCCTGAGTGCGGGTGGCGGCAAGTTCAACGTGTCATTTCTTGATGGGTGGGATTGAACTGCACATGCCTTGCTATAGTTTGTACACATACCGTCACACACCCCGAAATGGTTTCAATGCGGCACTGCAAGCATTAATCTAGCTCATTTGGAAGGGCTTTGTGCCTCAGGAGGGCAGGATGCACAACGGTCTTCGACCCAGGTCCATACAAAGCTCTGCGCTCAAGGCTCGGGTTGGAGTAAGGAGTTGTGGATATGAATAGCGATTGGAGTTTTCTGTAAAAAATCGGGGTGGTTGGTACTCTGAAAAGCGAGTTCTTAATCCAACCTTTGCTGGTTAAGTTGGAGGCTTGTAAGTAAGTAGAAACCTGGAAGTTTCTCGGTTTTATAGAATATAGACAGATGTTCTTTTCAAGTTGGATTCTATAGAGGTGTTGTAGTCATGGTGAGGTGGATCTTGGTTCCTCAAGCATGCGGATTCTATATAGGATCGTTGGCATTATTGTTCATGTCAGGCACACGCACAGAGACCGCGCACAAACCTCCAGCACAGATAAGTCAAGGCAACATGTTGGCCTTTGGGCGACTTAAGAACGGGGAAAGAGGGGTCACCATTGGACACAATGAATTTGCAGTCCCTTAGCTCTCCATGAGGACCTTTGTTTCGCTATAAGTTTGTGATATTTGTGGTCCTTCAATCATGTGAGTGGATGCCTTCCTGGACATGGAGTTGTTGGTGTTTTTAAAGTTTGGCTCCAGCACCCTATACCTTAGTCTACTCCGCTAAAAAGCACCAGTTCAAGGTGACTCAGGACCAGCATTTTATACAGCAAATCTCTTCAATGTTCAAAACTTTTTACAGACTCATGTCATGAGCCTCCATTCTGTAGAGCTGACACCTCGTTTCTGGACTATTAACATCAATTTTCTAGAGACCAATATTTTGAAGGAGGTTGGTCCCACCACTTTAGCACTATAATATAAATTCTTTACGCCCGACCTACCCACTTAATACCAATCCCTATACAGTACTATGAAACACTATTGTTGAGACTGTTTGTGCATGCTTGCCGCATGTTTGCCTTCACTGAAGATATTTTCTCGCAGTTGAATGTCATAGCAGTTATTGGCAGGGGTCAGTGATCAGTGATTTTGTGCAGGGCGGATTGTGCCAGAAGCGAATCCTGAAGAAGCATGGGTCACCTCAGTTTCTCGAAAAACTTTGTGGCATAATTTGAGCACAGGAATCGGAACAGAGGTGGAGAGACTGAGGACAAGGACAAAAAAGAGCAAGGTAGCGTCCTTCGGGAAAAAAACTGCATTGCAGCATGTCAGACGAATGTTTTAATTCCCAGCTGCTGATGTGATTTTGCATAAGTGCCCTGCATCGACTGGTTGCCAATGCGCGCTCTTGTGTTGTTTTGCTTCATTCATCCTGGCAACATCAGCAGCTATGGTCCCGACGTCCTGGTAAGAAGAAACCCTACCGCATGTCAAGCATCGTGGGTGTGTGAGATGTGGCTGCGCACAGCTGCAACTATTGCCTGAAACATTGGGTTTTGCAGGACAAGTGCTGAAATAGAGACTGTAGCTGCTGTATTCACCACTTATCAAATGCTTGGCAGACAAGAGTCAAAGAAGGCGAAGTGCGTTGGCACACCGCTTTCACGCTGCCGTGCAGTCTGCTGGTGACCGTACCACAAACTTTCACAAAAGAACCTTGGTTCCTCCAGTCTCACAGGTCTATATGGTCAGCGGCATTACGGGATATATAGGCATGAGTGACTACTGGCTGAACGATAGCCAAACTTTCTTGGGGTGGCGTTCAATAGGGCAAACCTGGGGGGTAATGTTGCCCCTAGGGAGCTGCAAACAGGCGCATTCTGTTGTGAACTATGTGATAATATGACTGATAATGACGGGCGTCATTGGGTGCTATGGATTCATGCCGGTTCGTGAAGTACCTTATGGTGCTACATTCAGCAGACGCTGGGCAGGTTATCAAGCAACCCGCAAAGCGGGGAAGCGCTCGTAGCTGATGTGTGGTTGAGGAATCACAGCCAAAAGGTGTCAACGCTGCAGCAAACTACGATGTCAGTTTGGACTTATGAATTATATACTGTGCTGGGTGTGCATTCATTGAGAGACAGTCAGTGTACATTGCCCTGGTGGGAGTCAGGGCAATTTAAGCTTGGATGCTATGGTTCTGCAATTGTTGAAACAGTGGAGGTGTAAAATCCACAAGGTTGCCGGAATTTAATAACGTTACGGCTTCCAAGACTTTTGTTCAAAGTGACATGGTACTGTTTGTATTCGATTCAGTGAGGCGATTGGCTGGGTCTCCCTTGGTTGATAGGATCGCACCCTGGAAACACCTGTGGAATGAGTCTTGACACGGTCTGTGGAAATGGGCTGGACCTTGGAACCTGCAGAGCCCACCACTGCCGAAGATGTCAATAATGAGGTCATCACCACCGTCAGCATGCTACCGAGCTTGAAGAGCGTGTGAAGGACTGCATTCAGCAGAGCCACGTTTGGCGCTTCTGTAGATGGAACACTGCATCAGCAAAAGGAGGACAAAACATGGACAGTGTGAAATCTTGACTCCACAATTGAAATTTTGACCAAAGTGTGAGATCAGAGGTGCTCCAGCAAGCGTGAAACGCCGAGAGTTTGGGCTGACCAGATGTGGCCTGTTCACCTGATCAGGAGCATAGCCGTTTGCTAGAGCTCGCGCACACGAGAGAGGCACGAACATCAGTTTGTAACCTGTTGCGATGTTCTTTTAATTATTGTTAGTTTCTGCCAGTTTCTGCATGTTTGTGCCAGCATGATGGTGACAGTTCTGGCTGGAGCATTGGTTGACAACTTGGCTGAGACACTCCTCTTTTTCTAGTTTTTGTTGGCAGCCCAGGGGAGCAGTCAAAAACCATGGCACCGTCAGGCGGCATTTAGAGAGGACATCCAGAAAGTGGAGGCGGATGGGACGAATCGAGGGCCGAGACTCATCACAGAATGCTTTATTGTGCTTGACCTGACAACGTGATCAGTTGGGAGGGGCTGGAGGGTCTGGAGGCACCACGGTCGGTCGAATTACGGTCTTTTCTAATTAGTAGCATCCTGGTTCCTAGTAGTAAGGCCAGGAGCTACTACTGTAGTAGCGTGTATGCTCCTAGCAGCGATGCCCCTTGTTCCGAGTAGCGATGCCCTTGTTACCTCTGATTTCAGCGATGCCGCCTTCAGGCCTTGGAGCAAGAAAATGAGGAGCTGCGTGAGCTGCACATCCGACAGCAGCTGAAGCCCCAGCTCACCTTCACGACACGGTGCGATATACGAACACGGATTTGGAATCCATGTCAGATTTGGAGGGATTCCAAGGATTCGCAGCACAGCTTCAAGGCAAGAACGGCCAGTGTATTCCTCTTCAGGCAGAGAGCGCAAGAGCAGCTGGATGAGCTGCAGGAGGAATTGGCTCGCGCAAAGGAGCGAATTTGAGGGATTTCTTTGTTGTTTTAGTTCTGGGGTGGGGATTTGGCCGCATTTGGCCGCTATAGGAAGAGGTAAGCTAATTTATATGATTGGTATAGCTATTATATAAGTACTGGACGCTCGTACATACGGACGTAGGATAGGATAGCGCTGGCACTATTCATTTGTTTCCCATATTTTTAGAAAAAGAACGAGTCCAAGGGACATCATGTAGCGTGTCCCAACCATGAACCTGCCCATCATTCTTCCGTTTTGGTGGACATAGGGTCACACTGGTTTTTGTGGGGTTTCGTCATTTCAATTATGGTTGATATATGTATATTTTTTTTAATTTTGAGAGTCAGCATGGAAAAGCGCTTTTGCATCCAGTGCTCTTGGGTGCTTTTGCGCTTTTGCTTTCCATCATGTTTTTGCAGTGCTTGGCATGGGTTCTGCCGTTCGAATCGATTTTTTGCCAAAGCTAGAATCAGCACGCGGGAGGGTGTGAGCTCTTGGTGCCTTGGTGCGCAAGGGCAATGGCAGCCACCCATTGCCCTGTGTGGTTTGCGATGCCTGGTGATGCATTGACCCAAGGAGCAGCTTGAAGATCATATGCAGCAGCATGGTGACCTGCGAGGCCCGAAGTTCAGGTTCGACCTACGTAGTTTAACCCTCTCGAATCCCTACCTTTGCCATACTTCCTCCAATGTGGCCGGATTGGGTGGCCAATTCATGCCACAACCACCGCTTAGAGCAGCGGTTTTGACTTCACAGGGCTGCATGGCGAAGCAAAGAGTGTCGTGCTAAGCCAGCACAGCCCTCCCACCGATTGAATACAGTGGCTAAACGCAATTCAAGACCATTCTTTATTTATGTGGTTATGTGGTATTAACCACCCAAGGCCCTGGCAATTTGAGTGCCACTGCATCGGAAAGGAAGCCCTGGTACAAGGGTTTAGTTATTTTTATTGTTTCAAGTCAGTTGGTGAAGTATGTGGCCAAGAGTTTGTTGCATGCTGTCCTTGACGTTGGCTGTGCTTAGAAGGGGGAGTCGCTTGTGTGCTAGGTGTATTGTTGTTCTCATTTGCCTTTTGAAGGAACAACAGCCTGATGATATATGATGAGTCACGATGATGCGTCATGAATAAGATCAACCCTTTTTGTGCTTGATTGATTGATTGCTGCAGTGCCACAGTGACTACATGTTGGATTCTAAACCATGGCAAACAACAGTTGTTGACTCTCAGAAGTTGACTCGCTGAGTGAGCCCCGGAAGAGCAGGTCATAACTCACACCTGGAGTCACAATGGCAGAGTGCCGAGCAGCGTGCGATGCATCATGCAACTTGGACCATGTTGAAACAGCTGGTGGTTACCATCATGACATGTGCATGCCAACAGCTTCTTTTGCAAGTGCCAGGCTTTGGAAATGTTTTTTGTTGCAAGGCTCTTTCGGTCTTTGGGGGGGTGGGGATTGGTGGCGGTGGCATATTGTCAGGCAGTAGTGCTGGATGCTTTGGGGTCAGCCATGCATCTCGCGAACCCAACTGCGGTTTCTTCGTTTGAGGGTTGACGATTTGCGAATCTCTGGGATACTTAACGTTCCCAGGGCGTTTCAAGCGGCAACTGCCGCGCATTTGGCTCTCCTTAGCGGGTGAACATGAACGCGACTGTTTTGACATGTGGACGGACTAGGGCTTAAATCGACGTTGACTGAGCTAATTCTGTTCAAGTTGGGTCAGTGAGCCATGTGGTAACTCCATGGGTCACGTTCTCATGTGGCTCACACCGAGGCGACCCGCGCGGAGGAGCTGGCAGAACAGATGCGACTAATGGACGAGGCCGCTGGGCAGATGCCCAGCCTTGGAATGTGCATTCTCCCTTGGAATGCTGGAAGGCCAATGGATGCCAATGGAGTTTTCCACATGCAATGACTTGCAAACGTGATTTTGCACCAGGGAAGGCACCAACACAGAGAGACTTTGGAGCAAGAAGTGGTGCAACAGCGTCCCCTGGCCAGAGTGGTTTTCAGGGGCAGCAGTGTCCTACATAGTAACACGTGTCGCCCTTCAGGGACCCTTAAACGAAGGCATTGTTTCTAGTAGCTTCTTGTTGCTAGTAGTAATGCCAGAAGCTACTAGTAGCGTCCTTGCTCCTAGTAGCGATGCCCTTTGTTACTAGTAGCGATGCCCTTGTGCGCGTGAAAAGTGACGAGCAAAATTCAGAGCAAGCGGCGTTCCTATGGCCAGTGTGCTTGGGAGGTTCTGGACGACGCTCGGGAACACGTTCTTTCCATGGAAACTCCCTGAGGCCAAAAGATCCAAGGCCTCGAGGGTGCTTTGGTCCAGCTCGGTGATGGCCTTAGCTACCTTAGTAATCTTAGTTTCTACGTGGGTAAGTGTGCTGGACACGATTCTTTGGTCGAAACATGCTGCTCGAAGGTCGATGACACCCAGAATGGTAACAGAATGTGGAACATGGGACGTAGAGTCCTAGAGTTGGAAAAGTATAGAGGTGCTAGTACGATCGGCATGCCCAAAGGCTTGGTGTATTCTGCGCAAAGCCTTCTTATTTCGTAAGAGCGATATCCAAGACCAAACTTTCCAAGGTCAAGACGCCCAGAAGGCGGAAGACTTAGCCCAAGAGCAGATCGAGGTGTTGCAGGAGCGGTTAAGACACATGGAGGCGTGGTTTGACAGTTTCTGTGGAGGACTTTCGTGAGGCAAGAGTTTGGCCAGTTGAGTAGGACCACCAAGAGATTCTGCTTTGCAATCATCGGAATATTGTATACATAGTTGGGAATTGGTCACTTTGGCTTTGGGGATCGAGTTTTAACTTATTGGTTGCTGACCTCGGTGGCTTCATAAACGAGTTAACTTTACTATCTCCATGTTGGTTTCGAAGATGCTTTTTATCTCCGAAAGATTCCAGGTCTTTGTTTTAGGAAGGATTTCTAACTTGAAATCAGCAAGGAAGGACTTATGACATCTTATGACCTAAGATAGAGATGGGGAAACTGCACCAGAATTCCAGTCATCCATGTGACATGGACATGTATGGAACCAGAAGCTACTAGCGTCTCCGCAAGGACGCTACTAGGGGCTCCTGGCATCGCTACTAGGAACAAGAAGCTCCTTGGGAATGGGCTGAATCGCCACAACAGGCCTTGGAAAACCGGCCGGACGTGGCGCGCATCGAGGCATTGGGTCTTGAAAGGAGGGTATTGCAATGGGTTCCGAACTGAATGCTTTGGTTTTAGGCAGGTATATCACTACCTGCGAGATTGGGAGCTATCTACATGCTGCAATTGCACAAGGGGTGACGTCTTTTCAGGTTAGCCATAAACCTGCGGGTGCCTTTTCCTGGGTGGGCCCGGAGATCTCTTCACATGTGTCAATAGCTAGATTGAAGAAATTGATGCTTGGTTCTATTGGGGGTTGCGATTGGCCGAGCTGTTCCGTGCCCCCGTGCTGTAGAGGAGAGGAACATGGAGTTGATGCGAGAAGTTGACAAGTTGCGCTCGCAACTGAAGGCCTACGAGAAGGCGAGAGATTGCTGTGGCTCAATCATATGATTCATCTGATGGTTTGCCGGGTCGCAATTTGGACAAAGACTTGGAACGCTTGCAGGTGTTTGCATGCATTGGCACATTGAAGCAACATAGGGAGCAAAGGTGCCATCATTAATTGAGACACATACTGTATCCAGGCATCGCACAGCACCGCTCCATTATATAATATTACAATATATTACAATTATATTACATTGTTGCTATATATGTATATAATATACACATGTGGGTGTCGTTTTTTTTGGGCCTTACTGTTGATTGATAAAATCTTACATCAATAAAGCAACACATGTGGTTTTCCAATTTGGCACAGACCCCTGCGCCCCAACTCAATGTTGTTTTATTTTTGGTATGTGATGCAGGTGTTTGGTCACTCAGCTTGGTTACTCCATGTAAAAGACGGAGCGCGACGGTATGACATGGGGTGGTTCTGCCAGTGGTGCAGGATCTTGTCCATCAACCATATCACTGTGTCTAACTTAATCTGTTTATCTATCAAAATTTGTTTATATGTATATATATATATATTTGTTTATATGTATATATATAGGAATACTTCCCGCGGCACTTTGTGCTAACTGCCAGGCGCAGGCACAGCCACCCAGCCAGCTGCTCAGCAGGGGCCGGCTTCCGGCAGCATAAGGCATATTCAAAATTTCAAAAGCATGTCAAGCTCCTGAGCAGATCTTGACCAAGGAAGCCTTGTTTTGGCTTGGCCAGAGCTACCGAGGCCCTCCCATTGAACCTCTTCGACGCTCTTCTATTGCCTCCAATGACAGCGATTTTCGGTCCAAAGTCAGCTCTGTGAAACGTCCGGCAGCCCAAAGAGCCAAGGTTAGAGTCAAAGCTTGGAATTTTTCACTTGTCCAAGCCTGGTTAGACTCAGTTGAGAGCACCTGGGAAAAATAAATGCCGAAATGCTTAGTGGTTGGGGTTCCCAAGTGAATCTTTCCATTCAGCTTGATGCAGATGTGGTAGAATTCACCATGTTGGAAGGTCGGGCCTCGGAACTTCTTCGCCAAGCAGCTGCACCAAACTCGCTGCACTTCTCAGAGGGAGTCATTTGATAGTTTTGCAAGATGCCAGAGTCTGCCAGAGTGCCCATTGGTCCGCTTGTAGAGCGCTCTTGTTGGCCCTAAACCGAACTTATCAACTTGGGCAGGCCCTGTCAGAGTTCTTAGCTTTGTGGCAACAAAAGTGTGAGATGTGAGAAAAACATATCGACCGCGTACTGCGTATTTAGTCGCTTCAGGCAGCTCTTGGATGTTCAGATCCGTGCTGGGGCCCAAAGTTGGCAAGAAGGCCTGGTCGACTCGATGCGAATGGCTTCACACTGTGCACAGAGCAGTGCCCCGTGGGATTCGATTCTTCCCCAGACTTGATGCTTTGGAGACCTCATAGCGGCGCAGGTGGCAGTTTCTCTGCTGGAAGGGGCCTCAGGTCTGCTCGGGTTTAGTGCAATGCAGCAATGCATAACTGCGCAATCCAGATCTGTGTGGAGTGCCCAGCCCTCGTTCCGACCACTGTTGAGCAACGCCAATGTAAGGCTTGCATTCCAATGCAGATGAGGCCAGAACTTGCGACAAACTTACATTGGCAGACACACACTGACAAAGCACGGAAAGCAGCCCTTTTGGAGCACCCTGCACCTTTTAACCTTTTCACAGCAGTGGCTGGAGACAGTGCACCAAGTAATTAGGTCACTAGGTTGCTGGAATTTGCTTTGGTTTGGAAGCAAAGAGAGTGCGCATGTGTACTGTTCGAGTGTGCATAGAGGTGTTAACATAAATGTCAACGGTTTTGATTCGAAGCAGATAGCAGTGCTTTTGAATACTAATCATTGGTGAATGTTGGTGACATGTTCATTCACGTGCGTGATAGGCAAGCATACGTGCCGAGTGGCACCAGCTCTCAGTGCTGGTAGATGCAGCTGCTTGTGTCAGACAGCTGAGATTGGGAGTCCAGTAGAGCAGAACAGCAGTGCGCACAGCAAAGGATTGCATGTGAAATTATATAGCTATTAGGTTGGAGGCCATTGCTAGTAGGTTGGAGGCCATTGCTCTTAGGTTGTTGCATGTGAAATGATGTGGTGGATTCCAGTAGCCTGAATTCGCCTTTTGGCACAATTCCTCCCAAGCAAGTGGCAACTGTTGTGCATGTAAGCTGACCATCACATTGCAGCGGCCTAGAGCTGTCCGGTTCCAAGAGGGGGGTGCTCTCAGGACCTGGCAGCATTGAAGGAAGAAGCCTGGGACTCAACAGGTTGAGTAAAGACAAGCCAGGCATCACAAGGTGTTGCTGAGGTCGCATGAGGTGCTTGGTGGCCGAATGTGTAGCATCGCGCTTGTAGCAGTGTTTGTGTCATGACGTGGACCAGAGTTGTGCAAAGCTATGTCTCAATGTTCCTCACTCGCAGACATTGTCATATTGTCATCGAGGCCAGCACCCATCATGAGCTGCCACCTCAAGTGCTTGAGGACCTTGGAGATGTTCAATGCATCCCACTGCATTGAATTGATGTCAGCCATGGAGTCACGGTTGCAAACACGCCACGGAATTTGGAGGAGGTTATGCAAGAGATCGAGCTGGCCTGGGCGAACTGCAAAGATGAAACAGGGTGACTCAGCTGAAACGATGCCCTGGATCTCATCCATCTCCACTGCCATAGCATGCACCGTGCTGAAGCTGGTTGGTTTGGACTTGACTTCCTTAGGATGCTGCAAAGCAGTAGCGCCCTGGATGGCATGTCGGAGGCTTGCAAATGAGGGACATGTTGCTAGTGAAGCGAGTGTGCTCACCAACATTCACCAACACAAAGTCCGGCTTTTCGACTCATGGGTAGAGTCGAGATCTTGAAGCCTTCAAAGGATCTTCAAAGGCTGCAACTTTGCCCTCAGGCGCAGCTGCAAAGCTTAGCTGCTGATCTAGGCGGGAGAGGGAGGGCAACACCCATTCCTCAAACGGAACAAACGGCCTTTCAGATGCATTTTTCCACTGGCTGTGGTTTACCTTTCCATCACTGGCTTTCACAGGTTACCTCGATGGCAGCCATCAAAATGCCTGGAAGGAGGAGACCCCAATGCATTGGGCAGCTGCGCTCAAACCTCAGAAGGATCCAATGACTCCCCCAAGGACCCGCATTCATTCGATCACAAGCCCTTCCTTTGGCTTGGCCCTGCAGCTGCTACCCCCCTCGGCCTTAGGCTTGAGACTGCCACACATGGTAACCAGAGCGGGTCTCTATTCTTCTTTAAGAACCCTCTGAGCTGTGTTGCTTGATCTGGAAGCAGGAATGACTCGACTCACATGATAGGTCTTAACCGACCTTGGCAACTTTTGAAACCTTTGGAGCACCCGGAATTGAAATGAAATTCTGGAGATTGAAATTGGCCTCCGTTTCATGTTTCCAGGAGTCCACTCTCTGGAGCTTAGCCTGTATTTGTGTTCATGTTCGTTTTGTTTAGATTCTCTCTGGAGACATTCCCTTGCTATTGGTATTGGCACAATTCTCGCGCAACTCTGGTGATTGTCTCCGCGCTGCAAAGCTCACGGTCTATATAAGTAGGCTTTGCTTTCACAGTAGCCTTCGTAGACGAGCTTGGCTTACGAAGCTTTGTCGCCTCGTAGTAGCGGAAACCTAAATAGGCAATGAAGATTGGTTCACCCCATGCCTCTCGATCGATTTGGGGACGTGAATGGGTTGGAGCAAGAGGTGGCTCATGGCCATGAGGCAAAGGTCATCGCCAAAGGTCCTAGGTGCCTTGACGGCCCACGCTCCTGAGATATTGAGATAGTGTTCGTAGCTGGACCAGGTCGTGCGAACAGGGAAGCGGCCAAGTAAGAGATGACTCTGCACAGGCACTTCAAACAAACATGCGGCTGGACACAAAACATGCTTCGGGCTCTTCACGCAATTGCATCAAGGCCCCAGGCACTGTACCTCTTCACTGCCGCAACGCCGTGCACAAGAAGACAGCGGAACAGCAAGGCCACCATCTCGCAGAGACAAAAGCGGAGGAGTACCTCCAGAGAGGAGGCTTGTGGTACACAAGAACAAGCAAACACACACAGAGATATATATATATATATAAGCAAAGCACAAATAGAAACTACAATGGAAAGTAGCTTCCAACTGGGAGAGCATTCTTTGGAGTATAGCCCTGGTACAGGAAAAATAACCGAAATTGAAACTGTATAGTTTCAACCTTGAACTCTGAAACTTCACTTCTTGAAAATACGTTTTAATGTGTTGGACAACTTGGACAACTATATACTTGGTACAATCTCATGTCTTTCAGCCGCATCCCGAGGCATGGCCGGAGGGATCTTGCAGAGTTTCTTTTGAGGCTGGCCAGACGCAAGCAGGTCTCCAGATTCGTCTCCACAGGGGTCAGTCTTCGTTTTAAGATTTTTTGAGCAATGTGCTGGACACTGTCAACCTGGGCCAGCAAAACCCTGTCATACTTGGTGAATACTTGGCTGATTTTAAGTCCAAGTGCTAGAGCAACTTGGGATATGTAACTACTGGGAGCCAATGGTGTCGACTGCTGGCCGTGTCGTCACGTAGGCAGGATCAAGGGGAAGCCCTTCTGCGAAGAGTGGACCATGAAGGCTTCGTTCCGGAACTCGGACGTGTTGCGTTTGAAGATTCGGGCCGTGTGGCTGGGGGTTTATCATGAAATGACATTGGCATGTATGATGCCATGTTTGCAGGCCGCATCCCTGCAGAAGTGGCTGAAAGGCATCACCAGGTGCCAGTTTGAAACATCAGACATCAAGGGTTGTGTTTTTACTTCAGAACTCCCTGTCTTCGTGCTTGCATGGCGTTGCAGAAGTTAAAAGTTTCAGCCTCGCAGGTCAGCATGGCGCAGTTTCTGCGTGGTCACATGCAGAGAAAGCCTCCAAAGAAGGCATCCAAGTTCGGAGATGAAGCCGAAAGCTTCAGAGGCCTTTTAGAACCAATTATAATAACTGTTGAATCAACTATGAAATGAACGAGAATGCCCAAATACAAAAGAATCGGGTAGGTAGGTGCAAAACCACTCCAGAGCAACTGCTGCACGGCCGCCCCACAAGCCGTTGTGAATTCACACAGGGATCACACAGGTGCTGATTCTTAGAGAGTGCAGGCTGCACATCATGTCATGTCCGCCTACCCGGGCAGGTGACTTTGGAAGACAGTCTTCCTCCAGCCTACCAGCAAGTCTTGAAACAGGTTGGGCACGCACATGACAAGCCAGGTGGCACATGCGATGTGATTGATGTGCACTCGGATTCTGTTGGAAACATTTTTGTTGGCCAGTCGTCGAGTCATGTAGAGTCGACCCAAACAGATTTGAAGGTTTTATCATCACAGCTGCAACTAGGGCATCGCTACTAGTAACAAGTGCATTGCTACTCGGAACAAGTGCATTCACAAGTATGTCAGTAACAAGCGTTGCACCCTCAGAGCTTGCAGCTTGGCCTAGTAGGTGGTGCAAGAAGGCTGGGGATCAGTGCATTGGAAAGATGGCCGGGGGCACAGCTGTCGGCTCTCACTGCAGGGAATTCGGCAGGTTGGAGGTAAGAAGTTGTTGATATATAGTTCTCAGTGTGGCCAGTAACTTGGCCTTCATTCTTCACTTGCTTCAAATTGGAGCATGCTGTATTCGTGCCCAGTAAGGCCGCCTGAAGCGCGGGCGACGGTGTTGTTTGGTTAGGGGTGCTTGCACGGAAGCATCATCTCAATTGTTTCTCCACTGATTAGTGTTACAGATTGTAGACACTAGCATGCACTCTCTTGGAATGGACTCAACTGACTCAACTTTCTGTTTAAGCAACAAAGTTACGCGGATAGGCAGCAAGAAACTCTTATTATCGCTTACCGGTAGGAAGAAGAGAAAGAGAGAGAGAGAGAGGGAGGGAGGGAATGAGTGAGTGAGTGAAACCCTTGCCTTGGAGCCTGTGCAGTCTCTAATTTTGAATATTTTTGAGTTTTGTTTCTACTACAAATGCCCGCACTAATGTCCATTTGGATGCTTAGGTTTCACTATGCTTCACTGGGCGGCTTCCAAAGGGGAGGCGCTGTCACACAGCAAGTCCTTTCGATTGACTATAGGGGTGCCATTCGGGTGCATAGGGTGCATGAAACCAAGATCTTGAGAACGCACACCAGGCTTGGGAAGTAAATTGGTGCTAGAATTGCCCGTGCAAGCTCACATTGCGAGAGAGTCATTTTGTAGACCTGTCCACCATTGCTTGTTGCGCTGCAGGTGGAATTAGCTCGATACCTGCTACAGCTCCGGGCCGATCCAGAAGCTCGTGATGACACGGTGCCATGCCATAGAGCAATGTCGAGCCTTCAAGAAACAGCATGCGTGATCATACCATTCCAATTCATTGGCGATGATGGCACTTGCCAGCATTTGCCAGTTTTTCATGTGCTTGAAGCAGGGCTGAAATTTCATTAACATTCGAAAGCCTTGAACCATACATCGCTCTATATTTTGCAATGTATGCTATTAATGTTCATGCGCGTTGTTCCTAAAGCGACTTTGGCAGCGTGGCGTAAGCCAACCCCGCGGCCAGCACCACCGGACGCCTTTGGACTGGGCCGAGCATGAGGGCCACTCCCAGGCAAGCTGTGCACTGTATGGGCCCCAAAGATTCCTGACAAGATGAAAGCACGAAACCTGGAGCATGTTGGATTCAATGCATTTGGCGGTTGAGCATAAGAAGTAAACGTCAGTGTCAAAATTGCGGATTATTTTAGTGTTCGTTGAACCTGGTTGGTAGTACAAAGTATTTAGCCCTTCATGATCTTGCAGTCGACCAGGCAGCAGAGATGCTTCGGAGACAGAGCAGGACCGTTTGCTGAGTGAGCATTTGAGAGTTTGGTGGTCCCTGGAAAGGCTCCTAGCCAGCAAACTCGTGTCAGAATACACCACATTGTTCCCCCCAACCTGCTGACCTACTGCTAGTGCTTTTTGTCCTTTCTCCCCTAGATGGCCAGCGCTTGATTTGCATGCAATGTTTGTTTTGTTTTGCTGGCGTCCCCTTCCAAGGACGCTGCGATCGGGAAGATTGATCCCACATAGCTTGTATGTAAAGCTTGCTGATGATATCTGATCATGAAATATAATGAATGTAATTGCAACGGTCGCTCCAATTTGTGAGTGTGAGTTTCAATGAGCTTCCCCGTGCAACCAGTCTAGATCCTGACAGCTCTGAGCTTATTCGACCGGGCTTCTGCTTAAATAACCAAACATTGGGGTCCGTTGGGTTCTTGCATCATTTTGCATCCATTGGGTCGAAGTCCATAAACTCCAGACAAGCGTGACAAGCATCAAATCACATCGAATCTGATTGGCCAGAAGCCGACTTTCGGGGCGATTGTCTTCCTCCGGAGGGGCTTTCCGGCAGGCAGGGACGCAGCTGCGAGATTGGGCTTGGGTGCGTGAACAGGGCAGCTTGTACATCTTGCAGGTGTCTCGCAGTCTCTCACTAAAACGGTTTTCAAAGGTTTTCCAAACCTTTGCAAACCATCACGAAAGTCACCTTTGACATGAGATCCCAGGCATGTTTTCAATGAGAAGCTCTCCAACATCCTCCAACCCAAGCAACCCCTTCGTTTCTGCACTGTGGATCCCCTGGGGCGGATCCTGGAAGGCCAGAAGCTCCTTGCCTGCACCTGCATCGCCCAGCTATGAAGCTGCCAACCGGCTGGGGACACAGCCACGGGGGCGAAATGCTCTTTTGTTTGTGTTGAGAGGGGATCGTAGAAATGGAATGACATGGAGACAAAGTTAAATCGAACTTGGTCGAATCTCAATGCTTCCCTCACTACTGGAGATCCTAGACATTATTGTCCAAGTTTCCTACATTTTAACAGCAGGTGCAAGGCTTTCTCCAATCCTCTCAGGCGAAAATCTGAAGCAATAATGCGTCGACGCAGCTCGGAAGCTCAATTCTGCAGCTTGCTACCTATGTCTGGCCTACAGTTTGCAGAGCCTTGATGAGCCTATGGAATTGTTGGTGTGGTCCATGAAGGCTGGACCATGCTGGACCAACATGTTAGGGAAAACTGGGTATTGCTGGGCACACTCATTTCAAGAGACTGGACGATGAAAGGCCCCGCGTTTCCTATGTTTCCTCACGTACGTCCACAGTGTGAGGTTCCAGGAGAAAGTCAACCATCCCAGAGGGCTACTTGCCTGCAGGAGCCTTGGCAATGTGTCCAGGATTCGAAGGTATTGCCCAAATGTCAGGGTGTCCAAAACGTGTCCAAAAACGTCAACGGAGCATGCCTGTTTTGTGTGAATTTGCTTGATGTGGTTCAGTGATGCGCTGCTTGGATGAGTGCCAAGCCAACTTCAATGACATTTGCTCGCCATTCAGGTCCGCCTGGGCGGTCACATAAATGCACAGATGATGTGCCAAGGTCTTGGAGGAGATTGACCAGCGAGGATGGAACAACATGCCACTCAGCTGGAGCAATGCTTTGCGACATTGAAGGAGGGCCCCCCAGTAGGCCCCACTCATCGTCTTATATGATTATCAACCATTCTAAGTTAAGTCGATATATACCATCCTTCATTTGCGTCCCGCGCGCTTAACATCACTATGCAGAAATTCAATCAGTGAAGATAGTCTCATGATGTCTCATGATGTCTCAGCCTTTTGACCTGTGAATGCTGACTGCAACATGTTGATGCATCAGTCCTTCCTGTCCCTTTGCCTCCTTTTAGGCGTGAACGGTGTCAGTAGTTCAGGCAGTGGACTCGAGGATTTACACTTCTGCATTGGGTCTGAGCCTGGGGATCTTTAGACAGCTTTCATGTGGGCCATGTCATGTGGGACTGAGTGACATGCACCCACGCAATCTTGCTCCACTTTGTGGCCGTGTGCGAGAGGGAGCGGTTGTACATCAGGACCGGGCGACAATCCTTTAAGGAAAGGACGTATCTATAAATATGATGATATCATCAATCTTGAATAATCTTGAGTTGTTTCTTCACGATGACATGTCTAATAGCAGCATGTCCATTGAATCAACTGTGTCGGAATAAGTGCTGACCGCTGCCAAGGCAGCTCAAAATGACAAACCTGATTTGGTGGAGCAGCTGTTCGCAAAGGCTCGTCACACGCAATTCACAGATCCAATATGGTCCAATCTGCAGGTTCACGGCCAGATCAACAGACTCATTAATATCCGTGGGATTTCTTTCATTTAGTCGAAAACGGAACAATGCTGGTGCTAGTGCAAAGAATATACAGAAAGGATGGATTTCAAGCCGTTTTGCTGGAGCTGAAGGGGCTGCAGTGGCCTCTGACTCCCTCGGACCACAAAAGGTTGAAGTGCAGAAAACCACTTTGTGGCATAGATGGGACATGATGGGGGGCTAGGGACGAGAGGGACGGAAAAGCTTGATGCGTGGATGATCAAAGTCTTCCTCCATGAGCAACAACTTGCAACAAAATGTCAATTAGTAATTAGATGTAATTAGTCTTGAGGTCCTTCCTGCACTGCCAGCTGCCGACCAATAGAATGTCCTCACTTTTCTCGGCACCTACTCGCAGCTGCAACATACCCAGACTAGTCCAGGCAGCCGATCCCATGCAGCAAGATGACGACGGCAGGAGAGAGTTTGCAGCTTCATGAAGCGCAAGATGTTGATAAACCATCTAAATCTAGACATATCTAGACGTCAAAAGAAGAGTTACCAAATGATATTGATCGGTGAGAGTGCACTTCTTGTTCCCTTTTCCATTCCCAGGGCTGCACTGCACGTGCCAGATGCCGGAAAACGGGTGGCTGCCCTGTGAATTCAAGACCCCAGGGCCCCCCTGTCCATGGCGTTTTCCATCTTTTGTAGGCCTGGACAGCCCGTGACAGCCCCTTGCAAATTTGATACTAGTAGCTTCATGTTACTAGTAGCAAGAATGCTACGAGTTACTAGTAATGCCCTTTCTTACTAGTAGCGATGCCCTTGCTCCTAGTAGCGATGCCCCTTGTTACTAGTGGCTTCCTAAACCAGGACAGCCTTGGACTTTGCCCGAGAGTCTGGTAGTCCGGCTGTATGGAGCCCAGGTCTACTGCGTTCGTCAGTTGTGGTTCGAAGCTCTTTTTTGATACCACTTGGGCACTCGCTGGAAGAGGCAAACCTACACATAGGCACACATACAGGCACCAAACTTGGAAGCAAAAAGTTTTGGTAATGCCTGTGTGGGGAGCTCACAGATTAAAACAAATATATATATATATATATATCAAGGATTATCGTCAAGATTGTGCTGGATCGAGACTGGATTGTCGGTTCCTTTTGAGGTGGTCGAAGCTTTGCAGCGCTATGCGCCGCCTCAGGTCCGAGTTCTTGGGCAGGTTCCATAGTGCAGGAAAAAGTAGGCGGTTTAAACCCGGGTTGGAAGGTCAAACACAGCTTCCACTTTCCGTAATTAGAGCGTAAGGAGGATGAGTGCCCAAGCTATGACAGGCCGCTTAATTAACTTGTACTATGCTTTGGTGCACAAGCTTTGGGAAAGGTAGGAAAAAGATTGAAAAAGGCTGAAATGCCAGAAGGTAATCAGAGATGAGTAGACTCTGGTTTACTCTAACAGGAGCTTGTTGAGGTTCAATGAGTTGCTTTCGCTGAAGATGTTCATGGTTCTTTCTATGCAAGGCCAGGCAACAACGAGAGGCGGTCAGATGTGGATGAGGGAGTCATCGCCAGTCGTAGCGAAGCATCCTTGGGTTTCTCGATGTATGGATTTGTACCTATCAGAATTTCTTTTATAGATTAGATTCGGAATACAAAGCCAAGCCTGTGGGTTGTGCCCATATCATGCATTTTTCTGGACTAAATATGTGTCAACATGTAGTGAAGCAGCAACGAAGATCAATAAAGTCAGTGCACAAATAATGCGCAAACCAAGTCGACTCGTTCTTGGAAAGTCGTTTGTGTTTTTTGGGATGTGACTCCTAAGGACCCAAGATTTGGTGCCGGAAGCAATTTGGAAATCAAAAGTTGGCAATCCACTTGTTGGCGCTTGCAACAGGGGCAGGGGCATCCTGAGTTAGCTCGGACCTTTCCACATTGAAGGACAACCAGCGGCAGATGACGGACCTTATGCTGTGTGGGGCTTATCCTTTTTTTCAAGCTCTAACAGCACAGGTCAAGTGCAGATCTGGTTGAGCGCAAGGTTCACAGGTTTCAGCAACCAGTCTGCCTTTTGAGGAGTGCTCGCAGGTCACAGAACCGGGCTGGAGCCTCAACAGTCGATTTCGTGCGTTCACCCCTCCGGATGTGAGCATCAACTCCCTACTCAGCTCATGGGCTTGTTCCAACTGAGCAAGGCCAACATTTTACTATTTCATAGCCGTTTCCTTGCCCAGTTGCCAATCCTTTTGTAAGCAGGACAGGACGTGCAGCATATTAGCAGCGTATTCAGGTATATTCAGATAACAACTGCACTACCACCTGGTGCAGCTCCCCATCACTATTAGGCTGAAGACCATCGCTAGTAGGTTGGAAAACTCACCCCTTGTGCACCAATGTGGTAAACTCACCAGTTGGATAGCATATCGCCGCATCCATTTGCCAAGGTCTCCATTGCGGGTGCCGATGATATGGACGGGTGATACGTCGCACAACTTTCTATGACGGAGCTGTGACAACATGTGACAATCGGAGGCAGCAACATTTAGCTCGCAAGAATCCTTTGCTAGTTAGTCCTTCGTTCTGAGGAACAAAGACAGCCCGAAAACCAAACAATGCATTAGATGTAATTTTCGTTCCTTCAAGAGGCTTGCACTACTTGCACAGGAATAGAATTATGGGGCTTCGCTGCCAGATGGAATTTGAAAAAGTCATTGATCACAAAAAATATTACTCTATAGTCCATTTATAAATCAACACTACAAATTACAAAAATGTATATAATGAATATGCGGAATATGTGTATATATGTATATATTAATATGGGAGTTGATCTAAAACCAGTGTAAGGAGCTCTATATAAAACAGCCTTTCAGATGTTCTTAAAGCTATCCGCGAAAGATTCGCGATGAGGTTCGCAAAAGTATGTTTTTCCGCGAAAGATTTATCGAAGATCTTCGCTTTCAGTTGTTGTCCTTTCTACCGACCGACAAATTTTCTAGAAATACAAGGCAATCCTCCGGCAGAGCCGGTGGGCGGAAGTGTTTCCGTATGTCCCTATTGTCGTAGACTAACAAATTGAAGCCTCAACATTTCCTTGTTTAGTCTTCGCAGCGCGTAAAGGAGCCATTGAAATTTTACGAATGTTTCGTGAATGTGCTGCTAAAGTCCAGGTTCCCAACTTGAGGGCCCCCTAACGGCACTACCTGCATATGGATTGATCTTAAAACCAAAAAAATTGCCACGAAGATTAATGTAAATTTAAATAATTGATTTGACCCTAGCTAATCCTCATAGAATTGCACGAATTGAAGATTACGCGGCTGTGGGTTAGGCTTTGGGATTTGTGTGGATTATAGATATGAATAATCTTAAATTCTGCAATTTTGGTGGGAAATCGTGTCTGATTAATTTCAAATTCATTTAAAATGATGTTCATTTTGCTTACGCCCTTAAGAAAGCTCAAAAAAGCTCCAAATTCTTTATTGTAAAAGCTATAAATTTGATCGAAATTTGAAATTTCTTGGCAGTAGTAGTATGAAACCTCTAAATATGATCGAAATTTGTATTTTTTTGGTGGTAGCAGCGCGAAAGCTCGAAATTTTGAGTTTTTTTAATATTAGGAATATATAAATTGTAAATTAATTAAGAATTGATGATAATAATACGAAAGCTATAAAATTGATTTAGAATTATTTAATAATAGGATAAATTGAATTGATATTTAATTGGTTTTTATTGTAATAATATAAAAAATTATTAAAATTCTATATATATTTTTTTTGTTTAAATTAAATATGATAAATAACAAACATATTAAATTAAATTTTATTGATTTATAATTTAAATTCGTCGTATATTTATAATATTAAACATATTAATTTAAAATTAATTTTTAGTTTTTAATTTAATTAATATTTATATAATTTAATTATAATTAAAATATATATTTATTACAATAAATGATTTTATAAATATAAATTTTAGAAATATAGAAACCAAAATTTATAATTATTTATTATAATATTAATTATTATATATAAAAAATCTAAAAAATTATTCTTAAATTAAATAATAACTAATATTTAACAATATATTATAATAAATTTAAAATTTTTAATTTTTATTTAAATAATATATTGAGGGAATATATATTATTTTAAAGCAATATTCTTATTATTTATATTTTATTTTATATATTATATCGATTTTTTTATAACGATTATTATTAAACAGGACGGTATATTTTTTAAAATATAAGATTTGGATTACCTACCCAAAACCATAAATGATTTATATTTCGATCCATAGGGTATAAATTAAAAGGTGGATAGATGATCCAAACCCTTGGATTACAGAATTACTAGTGTTACCATTGCCATAATAACTATTACTATTATTACCTTTACTGTTATTAGTGTTATTATTGCCACCACTCCTACAATTATTGCTACTACACTTGCTACTACTACTATTATTATTGCTACTATTATTCGCTACTATCACTGGTATTCCACCACAGATTTAGCGGAAGCCACTAAATTCAACTTCAAATTGATTTCCCATTCTGGCAAATATATTTAATGGAATCCGCTAAGTGCGATTACAATTGATTTCCCATTCTGGCAAATAGATTTAGTGGAATCCGCTAAGTGCGAGCACAGCCGGGATTTGAACCCATATATCGTGGAGGTAGAGAATGCTCGAACCATTAAGCTATGGAAGCCTCTGAGTGGAGGAGCTAACCCAACAAGACGATATTAAAGAAGGCGCCAGAAGACAAGATAGTGGAAGGCCAAACAGAATTAGCGGAAGCCGGAAGCCACTAGCCAGTGTTTGGAGCGAGCCTCCAATCTAGAATGCTGATTTGAAAACCCATTAAATCACTAATTTGCGTGGCTAGCTAATAGCCTTTTTGTGCTTCTTGTATCGTCTTCTTGAATCAAAATAAAGGCTGGAGAAATGAGGTTAGTGCCCGAAAATTTTAATCCGCAAGGCCTCTTGTTGGCCCAAGAGGAGTGAACCAGCGCCCAAAGCCACCCATTCTGCTCAACCATGGCCCAATATGAATTTAGCGGCGGCCAGTACTTCAAAACAGGCATGCCACAAACAGGATGGCTTTGATCGAATTGGTGAGAAAGTGGTGGGATGGAGCGCCAGCATGCAGATGTGTTTATATCGGGGGCTTGGATCAAGTGACTTGTCGGTTTGATCCATAGGGCTTGGATCAGCGCTCTGATCCATAGGGTTTGGATCACTCTCGCTGCAGCGCGGAACGATCCATACTAGGGTTTCTGGCCGCACCCATATTATTCCTTGGGAGGAATATTATGCCGATATTATCTTCATTGATTATTATTCAATTTGGTGAATTCATAAGTCATCGTTGGCGCCTTCTCGTATGGCGGGCGGACGGTTATATCAGGGTAATTCATTTATATAGTCGATATATTTTAAATTGTTATTGTTATTTAATAATATGTTTAAAATATCTATTAAAGGATTCCTCGATTTACGTCTCTAGAAATATATTGGAGGAATATCGATGATATAATTGATGATATTTGAATATATGTCGTCCTTTTTGATTTATAGAATAGAATATCTTTAAATATATAAATATTAGTTCCATCTGATTTTAATTATTAATATTCGCAATATATATATATAATTCCGGAATCATAGAATATTTTGTAATAAAGATTAACTATATAATAGGATTATTAATAAATAATATATATTATCATATTAGAATTTTATGATTTATATGAAATATAGATAATTATGAAAAATATATATAATTGAATATCTAATAGAATTAATATTATTCTTAATATTATATATATAGTATAATCTATATATATATAATATATCCGATTATATTGGGATCCAGGGTCAATATAGGATCTTTTTCCTAGGATTGTCTTTGATTCAATCAAAACAGGTGGATACATTTGAAGGCTAGAGGTTTAAAGATAAGATCAAAAAATAAAAATATCCTGACCAATGCAAATAAACATGTTTTAGGAAGACCTGAGGCTAGTAAATTAGATGAATAGGATCGACCATACGGCTCTTGAAAAGCAGATGTGCTTGCAAAATATAGATGTGGCTGCAGATATCTTAGTGTTGGAAAAATACATATTCTTAAAAAAAATTATCAATCAAATAAATATTCAAAAATTAACATTTCTTGATATTGGAGTCGATAAAATTCATGCCATGAATTATTTCCTTATCATTCTTTTTCTTGGTTTGTTTTCAGGAGAGCCTGGTGAGATTTAAGTGCTTTGTTCCGGATCTCGACGAAGAGATATGAAATCAGGATTTTATCGGCGGCATTGAAACGAATCCGCCTTGGAGATAAAGAAATGAAAGATATTGAATATGTTTTAGACCCGTTATGGATTCTTTTGTTCTTTTTTAGGTGGGAGGCGGGTTCACCATGGCTAAGTATTAGTATAGATATCTTTATTGCAATTCAATAAATCTATATTTTTTGTTCTTTCTAATGTATATAGTTTCTATCTGATCTTTTTCTATTCACATTATTGATTTAAAAAATAAAGGAAATAGAGGATATATAATATAATATTTCTTGATAATTTTAATGTATTTACCCTCAAATCACCCCCAAAAAAAGCATTATTATCCATTCTTTGATTCCGTTGTTGGCAGATTGGCATACACATACAATCCAGGCATTATCATCTCCAAATTTATCAATTCAATATGATTCTCCTAATTAAAAGGAATCGATAATTTTAAAAATACAATAAAATAGATTTGTATAAATCGTACTTAGAATTATATAAATATTCTAAATTCCCCGGAAAAACATCGAGAATAGATTTATTAGGCTATTCATTCCGCCGTTCATAAGAAATTTGAGATATTTAATCATGAATAATAATAATCCAATAATTAAAATATATATATTCATCAATCGAATATATCGCAAAAAATAGAATAAATTCATAAGAATAAAATCATATATTCATTAAAAAATTACCAATATTTAATGAAATAATTATTGTAATATTATAAATTAAAAATCGATTATTTTCGTGTATTATATAGATAAAATACATAGAATATATAAAATTCTAAGATATATTATATATTTATTATTTTAAATATATATTATATAATCAATATCCAAAATGCAATTTCTCAAAATACCATATTTATCGCAATTATATAGGAATCCATATCTAAATATCCTTTCAACCATATTCGAAACACAAAGACATTAAATATATCTTATATTTTTATATTAATAATATTATATTAATTCAATATTAATTTGAGAAATCACCATAACCTAATAAAAATAAATGTCTAAATTAAAACAATATTTTGTTCAACCTTAAAAATATAATTGTTTCTATATTTATTATATATTATATAAAAATCAAAAATAATTAATATCTTTAATTGAATTAATTGTAAAAATTATATAATCGAATATTAATATATTAATTATGATATTTTATATTAATTAAATACCTATTATTATTATATTTATATAATTTTAAAGATTTTACCGAAAATATATCCATATATC